TTGCTGGATATTGACAGACCGTGTGTTTCATGTGCGTCTTCATCGACGCCTATTACTTTCATACCAATCACTCGGAGGAGCTAGGCTGCTTGTGGGGGCATACCAATGGTGACAACGCATCTCATCTCAGATGCATATTGAAACCGCCAGATTTCGCTATCCCCACACGAGCTTGCCTTGGGTTCACATCATTTTTCGAGTTGTATTCCCTCATGCTCGATACTGACGTGGATTGATCGACCTGTCAGGAAGAAGTAAGAAACTGTGGTGTCTCGACTCATCGAGTTGAGAAACAATCTACTAAATCATCAGGATGAAGTTCATTATTGACAGGCGACCGGTGTTGGTTGCTATCAGGTAAGGTTAGTCTTAACTTTTTCGTTAGCGCGTTTTAGAAGTCAGGTATGTTGGCGAATTGAGAACACTAAACGCCATCAAACTCCTGCATCGCGCATTTAGGACGCCTTGCATGCAGTCCCAACGTTCATGATCAATAGCAATGTGATAGACCTGAGTTTATTGCTAACTCCAGGATGGTTTTTGAAGGTTGCACCAGCGATAGACGGACAAAGGCGAGAAAATGGAACAATCGCTTTAAACCACAAGAATCCAACCTAAACTATCCTCCCAAGTGCAACCATCCGAAGCTAGCTAATCTGGTTTATCACTCATTTTGTCCTAAAATTCTGATGTTACCTGAGCTAATTTCACGCCAGGGGTTGAATAGCCTTTAGTCAAAGTTATCGTTGCTGGCCCATGAGCTGTAATCTGTGGATCTATGTACTAAGGCAAAACATCGCCTTTACCGAGATGGCCACTGCTTACTTTTTACAACAATCTGAGTCTCATTGTGTATAACCGATTGAGACCCCTTCTACCAGCTCGGTTCAAACCCTCATTCCGGGCCAATTCAATACTTACAAAACTAGAATCTGCAGCTTGTTTAGTGCACTGAGACCCACCTTATTTATGCCCAGGTAGTTTGCCGTTGTCCCGTCTGCGACTTGCTCATACACTCAATAGCACATTGCTGTGCTTTCCTCAGAGTTACGTAGAACCACACCTAGGACAACCAGAGAAATCCTGAGAAACAATCGTCGAGAAAGAGGCTTTACATAAAAATTACATCCTGATGAGTTAATCTACATGTATACGGATTGATGCAATTGTTTTTCGCAGTTTTATTTTCTCTATGCTAGACAAGTTATTACTAGTAAACTTTAACGTAGCTAACACTGAATACTCGTCTCGTCGTTTTCACCCACCATTTGTTGCTATGTCGGTCACGACTACTTTTCCATTGACAGGCGGCCATTACCGCCGGTTTGCGTAACGATTCAGTGGTGGGAATGCATCATCTTTGGGAAGCTCGAGACAAATTGCTGATGGGACCTGCGAAACGTAAGNCGTAAGCCCTTGGATGAACAAACTAATCGCGTGTCAGCTTACCATGAAGCCGGGCATGCACTGATGGCCTTGCTGACTCCAGAAAGTACACCTTTGCACAAAGTGAGTGTTTTCATCGATTTATCATGGTTCCGATTTTGGCTTCAAAAATGGTTGACATTGTTATAAATATTGAATTCGGTACAATGTAGTTTTTTATGAAGCCTGCTGTTTTG